CACACCAGAAGAGGGCACCAGATCTCATTATGGATGGTTGTGAGCCACCATGTGGTTGCTGGGAATTGAACTCAGGACCTCTGGAAGAGTAGCCGGTGCTTGTGCTCTTAACCTCTGAGCCATCTCTCCAGCCTGTATTTATCATTAATTACAGAAGTCGCAATTAATATTCTACGTGTCAACTCCAGAACATTTGTTACTATGAATTTGTATATAGAATTTATACTGGGTATGTGGTATTCTCAAGTAGGCCCCAGAGAAAGTAATTCCTTCTCACCAGGGCATCAGCTGTAAAAGCTGCAGCCTTGGGATCTCACACTACAGTGCCTTAGTTTTCCCTTTGATTTAGCACTGAGAAGCCCCCTTTAATCCATTAACAGCACTCATTGCAAGTCATGTCCCCCCTGAGACTTAAGTTTTCCAGGGTGTTCTGCAAATCAGTCCAGGGAAGAGACTTTAGGCACCTGCTTTTTTCAAGATCCTACCTGCCTTCCTGGCTCTGAGAGATATGCATGCCCTATTATCAGAGAGTTGTTAAATGTGCCTGTGGGTATAAAAACTAGAAGCCTTGAGAGGTAGGAAAGCCCTCAGGAGAACTTTTAGAAGAAGGAACTTTTAGAGAATTTTTAGAAAGAACTTTACAGAATTTATAAGGAGAACTTTAATGAGAGCTTTTTAAAAATTATTTATTTTATTTTATGTACATTGGTGTTCTGCTTGCATGAGTGAATGTCTTTATGAGGGTATTAGATCCCCTGGAACAGGAGTTACAATGGACAGTTGAGCTGCCATGTGGGTACTGGGAATTGAACCTGGAATTGAAGAGCAGTCAGTGCTCTTAACCACTGAGCCATCTCTTCACCCCCTAATAAATGCTTATAGAGAAAGAACTTTTGAGGAGAAAGCTTTTAGACAGAAATCTTTTTTGGTGGGAAAGGGGGCTAGTTTTGAGACAGGGTTTCTCTGGGGCTTTGGAGGCTGTCCTGGAACTAGCTCTTGTACAACAGGCTGGTCTGGAACTCACAGAGATCTGCCTGTGACTGCCTCCCGAGTGCTGGGACTAAAGGCCTGTGCCACCACTGCCCAACTAGAGAGAAATCTTACAGAGAGCTTTTGAGAGAAAGCTTTTTGGGAGCCAGTTTATTTCCTTTGGCCCTCAGATCAGAATTTTTAGCAAATCCCTATCAGCCTGCTGTAAGCCTTCTCTCTGAATTTTAATTTAGTTTTATTTTAGAGGAAGAGTAAGAGGGGCTGATGTGTGGTGGCACATGTCTTTAATTCCAGCACTCAATAGGCAGAGGCAGTCACATCTCTTTGAGTTTGAAGCCACCCTGTCTACGCAGTGAATTCCAGGTCAGTCATGGCCACACAGTAAGACCCTGCTTCAAAAAGAAAGACAGAAAAAAAAGAACACAAGCAGATTGGGGGATCAGCTGTGATGAGTTTTTGCAAGTAGGCCCAGCTTGTCTCAGAGGATAGCCCTGTACAACAAACCCGCCCATTCCCTTTGTCCTATCAGCTGCATGACCTTTTATTTCTTATTCAAAGTGATCCTCACTTTGACATTGTATTTATTTATTTAATTTAGTGTGATTTTGAGACAAGGTCTCTCACCATGTAGACCAGGCTGGCATCACACTGACAGAAATCCACTTGTCTCTGCCTTCCAAGTGCTGAGATTAAAGATGAGTGCCATCATTGCCTGGCTATGTATTTATTTTTTAAACAAGGTCTTACTGTATATCTCTGACTTTGCTGAAACTCAATTTGTAGACCAGGTTGCCTGTCTATGCCTCTTCAGTACTAGGATTAAAGGCCTGTGCTATCACATCTAGCCTAGTGCAATTATATCTTAATTTCGAAAAGAAATTTAGAGGCACATTGCTGGGTTTCATATTCTTTGCAAGTTCCTGAAATTAAAATAGGAAAATTTGACATCAGAGATACAATCTAGATTTTTTATAGGAATTCTGTGGAATTTAATAAAGCATTGGATTAAAAAAAAAGGGCTAAAGAGATAGTTCAGCATTTAAGCTCACTTCCTGCTTTTCTAGAGTATTTGCGTGTGGATTTTCGCACCCATGTTGGGTGTCTCACAACTGCTTGTAACTACAGCTCCTGAGAATCCAGTTCCCTCTTCCAGCTGCTGAGAGAACCTGTACTCATATTGTCTTACATAGGGTTTCTATTGCTGTGAAGAGACACCATGACCACAGAAACTCTTTTAAAGGAAAATGTTTTGTTGGTGTGGCTTGCTTACAGTTCAGAGATTTAGTCCATTATCATCATGGTGGGATATGGCAGCATACAGGCAAACATGATGCTGGAGAAGTAGCTGAGAGTCCTACATCCTTCAGGAAACAGGAAGTGGTCTCAGAAACTGGGTAGGATTTTGAGCATATATGAGACCTCAAAGCCTACCTCAACAGCAACATACTTCCTCCAACGAGACCACACATACTCCAATAAGGCCACACCTCCTAATAGTGGTACTCCCTTTGGGGGCCATTTTTTTTTTCGAACCACCACACACACACACACACACACACACACACACACACAGAAACAGGTTTCTGAAGGGACCAGACCCTTACCCAGCCCCCTGCTTTGCAGCCATGACAGGCTGCAGAAAAGACCCAGCAAGTTGTAGGCCTCTGGGTCAGCACATATTGCTGAGTTTCGGGGCTTCTGACCTAGCCAGACCTGCCCTACTCACTAGGAGGTCAGATAACCTCCATGTGACAAGTTATCAATCAGAAGTTAGGGGGCAGGCTCTGGACCTGCTTTAAGGTAAAAGTGGGTTAACAGTGCTGTGCAGAGCATAGCAACTGCCATGGGAGGGCCTACACGCCATAGCAACCAGTTGACCAATCAACACAGGACAGGTTGGCCAAGCTCAGAAGTGCACCAATCCTGAGACGCCTGGAGGTTCCCTGTCCTCACTCGTGCCCGCCATGGTGGAGGGATGGAAGACCCATGTTAATACAGTTAACTCATTAAATAATAAAAGACTCTTTGCTATGCGTTGGAATAGGTCTCTTGGTGATTTGGAGGTTCAGAATTTGGGTAAAACCGTTTCCAGATAAATAAATTTTATATAGATATCTCAAAGGTCATGGTGGCTGAGAAAAAAAACGGAAGTAGGTAGATTTTTGTCTTGTCCTCATAGCAAGTTCCAGGCCAAACAAGATTACATACTAAGACCCTATGTAAAAAACCACTACCACTAAGCTCTTGTTTCTATCTGCATATCAGCTTCCTTTGGCCTTCCAAGCAGGGCTATGTGAGGGCAGTGGAAGGAGAGAACAGTTTATATGAATTTGGCAGTTTATCTATACAACTGTTCTTACCATTCCCTGGGCCTAAAAGGGGGTGGGGTTTCCTGGTCAGATCTGTGCTGGAAGTGCTTGCATTCAAAGATGAATAGGCAGAAAGAATCGAGAAACAAAGCAAGCGAAACACAAGATGAAACCCCACCAAAAATGGGGGTGGGGGTGGGGGGTAGAAATCTGGAGATATTTGAACCAAACCCTGAGATAGAGCCAAAGCTCTGAGTAAAACCAGAGGAGGTACCACAAGAGGAGAAAAAAAAAAATCAAAAGAGACAAAAGCAACTTTTAAGGAAAGGCTGATTCAATATCTTCAGGAACTTAAAGAGGACACACAGACATTTCAGCAATGACACTATGTCGAGAGAAGCAGATGAAACACGCATAAGGACAATGAGAAAAATACATGCAGACAAAATAATTAACACACAAAATAAAATTTAAAACGAGAAAAATAAAACAAGAGTCCCATTGGCTTTTTTGTTTATGTTTTTTCGAGACCTTTGGAGGCTGTCCTGGCACTCGCTCTGGAGACCAGGCTGGCCTCGAACTCACAGAGATCCGCCTGCCTCTGCCTTCCGAGTGCTGGGATTGAAAGCGTGCGCCCCCGACAAGAGTCCATTTGTATATCACACACATAAACGTTAAAGTCGTAAAGGACCAAAGACCGCGCAAATCTCAGTGGTGGAATTTTGATTTTTTGTCTATTTGTATTTTTCATACTTCCTGAAATGAACACGCATTAACTTTGCTAAAAATGACAGCTTTATGACTAAAAAATATTTTCAAAACTATTTTCGGCCGCTAGTTGGGGAGGAGCTTCCGTAAAACATTCCTGAGCCAGCCGGCGTTGCCCAAACAGTTTCTTTTCCGGAAATGCGCTACTTGACGCATGCGTAAACTTCTTAGGTTCCCACAGTCCTTATCCCGCCGCGCTGGGGAGTAAATTTGACCCTTTCGGGCTACCGTTG